TGTCCAACTGTCACTCAGTGTGAGCTCATTGAGGGACGTTTTAACCCAACTTTGTGGTTGAAATTTGTTGTTGGAGCAAATTTATTGTGGTGGCGTTTCATTTGCCTGCCGCAAGGCTTGATTTTTGGTAGGTGATTAACCTGACATATCCAATATATTACAATGGCTTCATTATGGCCACAAATCAAAGTAGTCATTTTCCGATTGGGTTTTCTGTTTGGACCACAACACTGTGTGTCGCCTCCCCACATTGAAATTTGTGGCATGCCACCATAGTTATATTTTACGGTAGCTTGATTTCGGGGGGACAAAACTATGCTTGCCTTAAAGGAATAAAATGTTCTAAAAATATTGACCTGGACTATCAAACAAATATGGCATTCGTGGCAACTTGGGACGATGCTGAGAATGTCAACAAGGTACGAGGGAGGTTACACCAGTAATGGTGATATTAGAAAAAAATATATATAAATTGTTTTCTTAGGAACAGCAGAACTTTTTTCTATAGACAAAAAATTAGAGTTAATTAAAAATTGTAAACCCTCAGTCATATTACTACAAAGGGTATACAGGATGAGAAAAAAAACTGCAACAAAGTCAAACTCCATAGTTTTCACATTTTCTTTTTTTTTAAATTTTATTGAATGAAAGCAAAAAGTCGTAAATACCATCAAATTTTAGAATAAGTTTAGATTTGTTCGAATTGGTCATCTTTGGCTCGAATTATGGCCTTCAAACGGCCAATGAAACCGTCACACGCTGCCCGAATGTTGCTCTGCGGTATTTTGGCCCATTCCCGGCGAAGTGCTTGCTTGAGTTGATCGAAACTTTGGTATTTTTTAGTGGCAACCTTGCTTTCCAATAAAAAAAACTCCAGACACAATAGTCCAACGGATTTGTATCCAGAGATTTTGGTGGCCATTGTGCGCTGGAACCTCATTTTGTAACCATTCTTGGGTGGCGGGTGCTGAGTGCGATATTACTGTTGGAATGTCCAAGGTCTGTGGTCAAAATGTTTGCGTTCCCAAGGCTTTAATACCCTTCTAGAATTTCGCGATAATATTCATTTATTTGGATGCCACGGTCGATTAATAAGAGCGAAGAGCGACCATCGACTGTTATGGCTGGCCACACCATCACCATGGCCGGCGCTTGAGTTCAGGTGGCAAACCGAAGGTGCACATTTTCAGCTGACCTCTTTGGCAAGTGAACACGATCATTTTGTTTGTTTACAAACTACTGGACAACGAATGTTTTCTCATTGGAGGAAACTATATTCGGCAGTTCACCGCTTTCGGCCAAGCGAAGCATCTCTTTAGCTCTTTTGAGTCTATTTTCTTTCTTTTGCGGTGTAAGTTTTTGTACTGTTTGGAGTTTCAATGGCTTTACCCCGAGCTTATTTTTATTTTTTTCCGAATGAAATATTGCGATGTGTTCAGCTCAAGAGCCATTTTTCCATTCATTGGAATAATTTTAACAGCTGTCGGACAAGTGGTTTAAAAATGACACCAGTCTGAAATTGTTGCAATTTTTTCATCTCACCCTGTTTATCACAAATTATATGGGTCCCTTTGCATAATCTCAGCCTCAGTTTCTGAGGTTTTTTTTTATAGAATAAAATCGGGCCTTAGTTTCTGAGGTTTTTTCTATAGAAAAAAATCGGGCCTCAGTTTCTGAGGTTTTTTTTCTATAGAAAAATAGGGCCGTTCTCTCTGAGGTTTTTTTCTATAGAAAAAAAAATGGGCCTTAGTTCCTGAGTTTTTTTCTATAGAAAAAAATCGGGCCTCAGTTTCTGAGGTTTTTTTTTTCTATAGAAAAAAATCGAGCCTCAGTTTTTGAGGTTTTTTTTTTCTATAGAAAAAAATTGAGCCTCATTTTCTGAGGTTTTTTTTTCTATAGAAAAAAATTGAGCCTCAATTTCTGAGGTTTTTTTTCTATAGAAAAAAATTGAGCCTCATTTTCTTACGTTTTTTTTCTATAGAAAAAAATCGAGCCTCAGTTTCTGATATATTTTTTTTTATAGAAAAAAATCGAGCCTCAGTTTCTGAGGTTTTTTTTCTATAGAAAAAAATCGAGCCTCAGTTTCTGAGGTTTTTTTTCTATAGAAAAAAATCGAGCCTCAGTTTCTGAGGTTTTTTTTCTATAGAAAAAAATCGAGCCTCAGTTTCTGAGGTTTTTTTTCTATAGAAAAAAATCGAGCCTCAGTTTCTGAGGTTTTTTTTCTATAGAAAAAAATCGAGCCTCAGTTTCTGAGGTTTTTTTTCTATAGAAAAAAATCGGGCCTCAGTTTCTGAGGTTTTTTTTCTATAGAAAAAAATCGGGCCTCAGTTTCTGAGGTTTTTTTTTCTATAGAAAAAAATCGGGCCTCAGTTTCTGAGGTTTTTTTTTTATAGAAAAAAATCGGGCCTCAGTTTCTGAGGTTTTTTTTTTCTATAGATAAAAATCGGGCCTCAGTTTCTGAGGTTTTTTTTTTCTATAGAAAAAAATCGGGCCTCAGTTTCTGAGGTTTTTTTTTCTATAGAAAAAAATCGGGCCTCAGTTTCTGAGGTTTTTTTTTCTATAGAAAAAAATCGGGCCTCAGTTTCTGAGGTTTTTTTTTCTATAGAAAAAAATCGGGCCTCAGTTTCTGAGGTTTTTTTTTTCTATAGAAAAAAATCGGGCCTCAGTTTCTGAGGTTTTTTTTTTCTATAGAAAAAAATCGGGCCTCAGTTTCTGAGGTTTTTTTTTTCTATAGAAAAAAATCGGGCCTCAGTTTCTGAGGTTTTTTTTTTCTATAGAAAAAAATCGGGCCTCAGTTTCTGAGGTTTTTTTTTTCTATAGAAAAAAATCGGCCCTCAGTTTCGGAGGTTTTTTTTTCTATAGAAAAAAATCGGCCCTCAGTTCCTGAGGTTTTTTTCTATAGAAAAAAATCGGGCCTTAGTTCCTGAGGTTTTTTTCTATAGAAAAAAATCGGGCCTTAGTTCCTGAGGTTTTTTTCTATAGAAAAAAATCGGGCTTCAGTTTCTGAGGGTTTTTTTCTATAGAAAAAAAATTGTGTGTCAGTTTCTGAAATTTTTTTCTATAGAAAAAAAATCGAGCTTCAGTTTCTGAGGTTTTTTCTAGAATCCCTCAGTTTCTAAGGCATTTTTTCTTCTTTAGAAAAAGAATCGAGCATCGGTCTCTGAGACATTTTTTTTAAAAAAAAAAAAGATCGAGCTTCAGTCTCTGAGGCATTTTTGTCGACAGAAAAAAGTTCAACCTCAGTTTCTGAGGTTTTTTTTTTTTTCTATAGAAAAAAATCGGGCCTCAGTTTCTGAGGTTTTTTTTTTCTATAGAAAAAAATCGGGCCTCAGTTTCTGAGGTTTTTTTTTTCTATAGAAAAAAATCGGGCCTCAGTTTCTGAGGTTTTTTTTTTCTATAGAAAAAAATCGGGCCTCAGTTTCTGAGGTTTTTTTTTTCTATAGAAAAAAATCGGGCCTCAGTTTCTGAGGTTTTTTTTTTTCTATAGAAAAAAATCGGGCCTCAGTTTCTGAGGTTTTTTTTCTATAGAAAAAAATCGAGCCTCAGTTTCTGAGGTTTTTTTTCTATAGAAAAAAATCGAGCCTCAGTTTCTGAGGTTTTTTTTCTATAGAAAAAAATCGAGCCTCAGTTTCTGAGGTTTTTTTTCTATAGAAAAAAATCGAGCCTCAGTTTCTGAGGTTTTTTTTCTATAGAAAAAAATCGAGCCTCAGTTTCTGAGGTTTTTTTTCTATAGAAAAAAATCGAGCCTCAGTTTCTGAGGTTTTTTTTCTATAGAAAAAAATCGAGCCTCAGTTTCTGAGGTTTTTTTTCTATAGAAAAAAATCGAGCCTCAGTTTCTGAGGTTTTTTTTTTTTATAGAAAAAAATCGAGCCTCAGTTTCTGAGGTTTTTTTTCTATAGAAAAAAATCGAGCCTCAGTTTCTGAGGTTTTTTTTCTATAGAAAAAAATCGAGCCTCAGTTTCTGAGGTTTTTTTTCTATAGAAAAAAAAAATCGAGCCTCAGTTCCTGAGGTTTTTTTCTAGAATCAGTTAGAAAAAAATCGAGCCTCAGTCTCTGCGACATTTTTTTCTAAAAAAAATCGAACTTCAGTCTCTGAGACATTTTTGTCGAAAGAAAAAAGTTGATCCTCAGTTTCTGAGGATTCTTTTCCATAGGAGAAAAAATGCCTGAAAATCCTGAAAACTTCTTCTATATATATTTTTTTTGATCATTTTGTGTTCTAACCCTCGTATTTCTCTGCTATGTAGGCAAGTATCCTTAAAATGTTTTCACCGCTTATTAACGTCAACGTATTGTCACGTTTGTGTGACTCCATTCTCAACTTAGGCTTGGTGAGCCTCATCATTCCCTGCTCTGCTGGTCCAAAATGTATGAAATGTAATTGCCAATTACTGGACGCCTGCTAGCAGAACTCACATAGCTTTACATACACATGCCTTCCCCGGCATTCCAATAAATATCCACATCTGTGAGTGCATCCAAATCAAAAGCAGTTTGTTGTGGTCCCAAGCGTGGAGTTTTTTTATTTTGCTGCAAAGCATATGTTTTATAACTGAGTCCTACACACTGGCCAGAAGGCGGCGGTTTGTTTCCACTTTAGCTTCAGTGGACTTTTTGTCTATGATTGTGAGAAACCAATACCGACAATTGGTGGCAAGACCACCAAGCCTTCCAAGCATTCAATGCCTCCCAAGGTAGTTTGCGTTGATTTTTTTTGTGCAACATTTTCCTGTGGCGTTGGTGGCGGCAAACTTTTTCTTCACACAGCAACACTCACACACATGCACGTAGTTACTCCAACTGAACTGAATGGCAGTGGAGTGCAACAAATAAAACAATTTCAATTACGAAACATTACGATGGCCAACTGCCACTTGCCGCAGTAGGGAGCCATTGTTCCGAGAGATTTATGTCCCGTTTGAATGAATTGCCAATAATATTTTTGTTAATTTTATAACCATTTATTAAGTTATAGTTTTTGCTGTGAGGCTCCTCGCATACAGTAGGTGAACACATGGATATTTGTTCGCATATATGGTCTGCCTTCTGGGTCCATGTGTCCGTCCTGATGCCTACCCCTCCTTCCCTCCATCCCATCTAATCTGTGTAACGAACGAATTTTTCATAAGTAGTTTAAAGTTATAAAACTTAAAGATTTATGTGTTTTATAGCTTAGAAGTGATTTTCAGCGAACATGTGTGTGCTTAGGTCTACCGAAATTGCTGGGAACATTTTTTTCGCAAATCCAAAATTTAGCTGCAGCCAAGATCTATCCAAATTTTTTTGAAGTTTATTTATGTTTAGTGTGATTTTGTTGAACCTGATATATTTCACCATCTTCACTGTACTGGATGAGAATTATGATGTAGGTTACCGTTCCCGAAATGAGCTGGAAGAGAAAAAGATTTAAGTTTTATTCATAAATATTGAAAACTGCATGACATTTTTTGTTGTGAAAATATCTCAGAATAGAACGAAAATTATTTTCTGCTATCATTACCCCGAAATACATCTGTCGATATTAAAACAAGTTAAAATGCTGTAAGAACGGCCGGGCCGAACTTTTAATACCCTCCACCATTTGTTACAAATTTGGAAATTTTCAAAACAAAAAAAAAAAAAAAAAAAAAAAAAAATCCGGTAAAAACCTAAAAATTTCAAATGTAGCCGTATATTAGGGTCTATACGACGACGTGGACCTGTATAGGCAACTTTTGTCACAAGCTATTACATTATTCAAATGAGAAACTTGAACAAAATCTGTTTATAATGTAGCTAAAATCATCAAAATACCGAATATAGGGAGGTTCCATGGCGTTTATAAAACATGGACCTGCACAGAAAATTTTCTGGCATAGGTTGTAGTATCCATTACGAACTTCAAATACAAAATTTGAAATAATGTCGCTTAAATCATCAAAATACCGAATATCGGGGGTACCGTTATATGGGGGCTATACGAAGACGTGGACCTGCACAGACAATTTTCTGTCTTAGGCTGTAGTATCCATTACGAATTTCAAATACCAAATTTAAAATAGTTCCGATAAATAATGCCTCTTAAATTATTAAAATATCGAATATCGGGAGGTACCGCTAGGGGGGCTATACGAAGACGTGGACCTACATGACTCATTTTCTGTCTTAGGCTGTAGTATCCATTACGAACATCAAATATCAAATTTGAAACAATTCCGGTAAATAATGTCGCTAAAAGCATTAAAATACCGAATATCGGGAGGTACCGTTTTATGGGGTCTATACGAAGAACTGCACAGACAATTTTCTGTCATAGGCTTATCTTGAAATTTTGGGCTGAGGTGTCTAAAGTTGTCACATAAGGCTGGGTTTTTGGAAATTCGTACTAAAACGGTACGAAATCTACTAAAAGGTACTAAATATTATACCCTTTGCATTTGACGCACCATTATAGCTAGAACTTTTAAATTAGGAATGAGGGTCACTTAGGTGTGTATGGTGGATGTACCGAAGGGTTTTTGGAAAATCGCGTTATAAGTGCCCGAAAAGAACTAAAATGTACTATATTTGGTACCATTTCGTATCATGTAAAAGGTTAGAGCAAAAATCCTTGAAAATTGGAATTAAAATCAATTCATGGAAATAGGTTCGATGTAAGTAGGGAGTTTTGGAAGTGTGTAGTCATTTATACGAACAGTATTAAACAGAAATTTAAACGCACAGTACTAAACACAACTACAATTTATATTTTTGGAGGAATATTTTTGAAATTAACATAACTGGCGGAGTGTAGTATTGGGATATGGAGGTAGGTTTCGAAATTTGTTTTCATCTGCTTGAAAAGTACTTAATGGTACTAAATTTTGTACAATTAAGATTCGTACAATTTGAAATTGGGATTACTACTGCATTGTAGGATTAAGGGTATGTACGTAGTTATGGAAATTCGTACTTTTGTGTACTAAATGGTACTGAGAATGGCATAATTTGTATTTTGGTGAACCGATATAGCTGGAATCCTGAAATTGAGATATAAGATTTCTATTCAATTGTATGATGCCGGTAGTTGTGGAACTTTATGAATTTAGGGGAACAGATGGAACTGGAATCCTGAAATTTGAAATTAACATTAAAATCCGAGAATAGGATTGGGATATGGAAGTAGGTTTCGAAATTTGAACTCATCTGCTCGTAAAGTTCTAAATGGTACTAATTTTTTTACAATTAAGACTCGTACAATTTGGAATTGGGATTACTACTGTATAGTTAGGCTGGGGTGTGCAGGTAGTTTTGGAAATTCGTACTTTTGTGTACGAATTCGAAAAATACTAAATGGTACTAAATTTTGTACAATTTCGAGTGAAATTATGAAATTCCGAATTGGGATTACTATTCCATTGTAGAATAGGGGTATGCAGATAATTTTGGAAATTCGTACGTTTGCGTGGTAAACGGTACTAAAACTTTAAAATTGGGTAAAGGGATAGGGATAACATTCTGAAATTTGATATTTAAATTATTTGTGGTATCAGAGGTTGAGATTTAGCGGTGGTTTGGAAATGCGTCCAATATTTAAACGAAAATTGGGTTTCGCTGTTAGTGTATGTGGCTAAGATATGAAGCTGGTTTTGGAAATATGTACTATTATTTTACGAAAAGTACTGAGAGGTACTAAAGTGGGATAGGGTTGGAATCTTCAAATTTGATATTGAGGTCTCTGTTGGTATCTAGAATTGAGATATGCAGTTGGTTATGGAAATAATTGTAGGTTATGTAATGGTACTATATATGGTATTTAGTGATGGGATGTAGACACTTTTTTAAAATTTGATATTTAGATAATTGATGGTATCTGTGTTTGAGATTTGGCGGTGGCTCAGTAAAGTGTCCAATATCTATACGAAAAGTACTAAATGGTACTAAATTTGGTATTGGGTGATATGGCTGGAATTCTTAAATTGAATATTAAGGTGTGTGGTTGTTATATGGAATTGAGATATGGGGGAGGTTTTGGAAATTTGTATCATGATTGTACGAAAAGTACTAAATTGTGCTAAATGGTACCACATTTGGTATTGGGTGAAGACATAGGGCTGGAATTCTTAAGTTGGATATTAAGGAGTATGGTTGCTATCTGGGATTGAGATATGGAGGAGGTTTTGGAAAATTGTACCATAATTGTACGAAAAGTACTAAATAGTGCTAAATTCGGTATTAGGTGAAGAAATAGACCTGAAATCCTTAAATTTAATATGAGTGTCGCTGTTGCTGTCTGTGGTTAAGATATGGAGGTGATTTTGGGAATGTGTGCTATTATTGTACAAAAAGTACTGAGAGGTACTAAAGTGGGTATTGGGTGGAGGGATAGGGTTGGAACCTTCAAATTTGATATTGAGGCCTTTGTTGGTGTCTGGACTTGAGATATGCAGGTGGTTTTGGAAAATGTACGAAAATGGTTCAACATTTTTTATAGGGGAAGTTACAGAGCTGACATTTCATATTAGGTTGAGACATGGAATCCCTACTGTAATTGCACGATAAGAACGAATTTCTACTAAATTTGGTATTGGGTGAAGGGACAAATCTGAAATTCTGAAATTTGATATGGATGCCACTGTTGTTTTCCAGGGTTTACATATGGAGACGTTGAAATGGTTTTTGCAAAAAAAATTGGATATGGTACTTGTTTTTACGCCAATTTTTACTTACCGAGCGTATCAGTGATCCATTTATGTTGATCAGACCGTACAGCGTAAACGTCTTCACATTATTATTGACGAGATAGGATAATTGAGAAAGCTAGAGAGATTTTGATGAAAAAATAAATATTTTAGAAAATACCCTTATAAAGAATAATACCCTTGTCTTAATCCTGTCATCCGTTATGTAAATATTCCACTCATCCGCTATTGGCCCAGCTTTTCGGATCTAAGAAAACAATAATCATAATTTTAAGAAAAAAAGTGTGTTAACCCCCTTACCTCTTCATTAAGACTCTGATAGACGAGGATAGTCAAAAAAGTCTCTAAAAATGATATCAAAATATGATAGCCATAGAAGAGGAATAACAATCCCAAACTCAAAGGACTTTTTGCTGGGCCACCATAGGCCATGGCCAAGAGGAAAACTACCAAATTATAGGTATTGAAAACTATAGACAAGCCATTGCGAAAAAATATCCAGATCAAGGGTATGCGGCGACAATTGGCCAAAAAGGTGGCCAGAGTGATGATTGTGTGCTGTAACTGCAACAAAAAGAATAAAAATTAGGAAAAAATATTTAAAATAGTTTTTTTTTTTTCGAAATTCCCCACCATCTGAATGTGAGTTGTAATCTTCAGCAGTTCCTCGACAGATGGTTGCCTCCGCTTCACATGGATTTGTTGTATTTGCTTCTGTTCACACCGATCCTGATGGATACGCCAGTGACGCTTGATAATATTCCATTTATGCTGATGAAATAATTTTCTTTTATTGGTTTTCTTATTGGGGGGCGTTGTTTGACCCGGACGTGGCGGATAGATTTTTTGTCGATGAAATTTATCCAAATTTTCTTCGATTTTTATTTCAAACATTAAATTTTTGTTACTTTGACGTTTCATGTTACCGTTTTGCTATTTTTCCTTATGAACTTTAGTTTAATTACTGAACGAACATGGTTCTACGACCCGTAATGGAGTGTAATAATTAGAATTTTATAAAATTTTGTTTCGTGGCCATTACTCCCCAGGGTGTAATCAAAAGGAATATTCATTAAATTCTTCGTTCGTCGCATGCAATAAATTGTTAATTACTTGTCAATATCATCAGCAATAAAAATTCCAAGGATTAGGAGAAATTAATTATGGGCTACAACAACCATTTACTCAGATGGGCCAAGGATCTCCATTGTTATAATAAAACCCATATGGCTTACACCATTTCTTCAATATTCAGACATCTAATGCCTAACATACGTGTTGGAGGCCACATAAGAACGTGATCAAAACCAATACCCCTGTGACCATGGTCGTCACATCGAATACGTATTATTTTTTGCGTCTATGCCACTAAATTTCATAATGGCCCAATTGTTGTATTATTTTTATTATTTGACTTCGTAGCCTTGATGAAATGACTATTCTGAAAATATAATTACGCCGTTGAATACTTTTACTAATCCACGATTAAATTGAATGGAAATGCGTGCATTGAAACCTCCTCTTCAAAGTTAACTTGCATAAATTGGTTGGTTGTTGAAGCCATTCAAACAAAATACGAACATGGTTAGCGGGGGGATGGGAGATGGAGATTTTGAATGAAAAGCAAATAATGTTTTATGGACAGGCAATGGCCAGTGAAATACTACAGAGGATTTTCTTGAGTTTATTAGACACTACGAGAGGGGAAACCTAGAGGTTGTATATAGAACACCTAGAGGTCGTCCATAGAAGACCCACAGGTTAGAGGTCGGCTATAGAAGACCTAGAGGTCCTAAAGGTCGTCTATAGAAGATCTAGAGGTCGTCGAAACGCAAAAAAAATTGTCCTCATAATCCTGACGGATTTTTATTTTCTGTAGAAAAAACTATCCTCAGGGATCTGAGGAATTTTTTTCTGTAGAAAACATTATCCTCCCGGGTTCTGAGGAATTTTTTCTGTAGAAAAAACTATCCCCAGGGTCCGGAGTTTTTTTCTGTGGGAAAAATATATACTATAAAAAAACTATCCTCAGGGACCTGAGGAATTTTTTCTATAGAAAAAACAATCCTCAGGGACCTGAGGAATTTTTTTCTATAGAAAAAAAGTGTCCTCAGGGACCTGAGGAATTTTTTTCTATAGAAAAAAAGTGTCCTCAGGGACCTGAGGAATTTTTTTCTGTAGAAAAAAAGTGTCCTCAGGGACCTGAGGAATTTTTTTCTATAGAAAAAAAGTGTCCTCAGGGACCTGAGGAATTTTTTTCTATAGAAAAAAAGTGTCCTCAGGGACCTGAGGAATTTTTTTCTATAGAAAAAACTATCCTCAGGGACCTGAGGAATTTTTTTCTATAGAAAAAACTATCCTCAGGGACCTGAGGAATTTTTTTCTATAGAAAAAACTATCCTCAGGGACCTGAGGAATTTTTTTCTATAGAAAAAACTATCCTCAGGGACCTGAGGAATTTTTTTCTATAGAAAAAACTATCCTCAGGGACCTGAGGAATTTTTTTCTATAGAAAAAACTATCCTCAGGGTCCTGAGGAATTTTTTTCTATAGAAAAAACTATCCTCAGGGACCTGAGGAATTTTTTTCTATAGAAAAAACTATCCTCAGGGACCTGAGGAATTTTTTTCTATAGAAAAAAGTGTCCTCAGGGTCCTGAGGAATTTTTTTCTATAGAAAAAACCATCCTCAGTGACCTGAGGAATTTTTTTCTATAGAAAAAAGTGTCCTCAAAGATCTGAGGAATTTTTTTCTATAGAAAAAAAAACTATAATCAGGAACCCGAGAATGTTTGTGAATGTCCTTTGGTCTGGTTATAATTCACAAATCCAAGCCTGTATATTTCTGTTAACCAATAGGTAATTAGATGTATTTGTATCATAGTCGTAAAACTCAAAATGGATACTTAGTGTGTGGTAGTGTGCGTGACTATATGTGAGGCAAATGCCAAAACCTCTCTGGGGGAATCAAAAAAAAAAAAACGATGACGACGTAAGTTTAAAAATGAAACAAAAATTGCCCAATAGTCGTGCAAAAATGCATTATTCATAGCAAAGACTAACACACTCATACACACAGACTCAATACTTTGTATACATACATATGTGTGTATGTGCCAAGAAAAACGAACGCACAGCCTACCAACTTAGCATCTGATTGTCGGTTTTGCTCCAGCGGCTGCTGCTGTTGCAGTTTCTGCTGCATTTTAATCGCACAAATCAAAATGCAATTATCTGCGTATATTTTATTAATTGTAGGTTTCATGCTGTTCTCTATGTACAACAAAAACATAAAAAAATTATAATAGTGTGTACAACAACATGTGTTGTATCTGTGTATTGTCTTTTGGTAGTTGTATGGGTATAACACGTAGGCTTAATTTTTAAAATTTGAATTTTTTTTCGTTTTGTATTTTGATTTGAGTTTTGTTTTTCGAATAACCAATCTGGTTTGGGATTTAAAATATTAAACAGTAGTATATGGGATACATTCCCATTAAACTGAAATATAGTCAATATTCGCTTAGTTTGTAGAAACTTAAAGAGCAATTTTTTCTAGGGATCTAACTGAAATTTGAATTCGGTATTTTTAATTTTAAAGCTTATTTGCATTGTATTATTTGTCCCACTGTACCTGTGAAAAAACATTCACTTTACATTGTCAATTTATATTCATTCACACGCATTGTTTTTTTTTTTGTTTCATTTTCGATTATTATAATTTTCAGTTATTATTTTTTGTTGTCGTCAGTTTCTCTCAGCCGGACTTGTTTGAATATCGACATGAATGACAAGTTAATGACTAATTTTCGAACTGTTTTCCGAAATATTAATACAGATTTAATGAAAGGTTTTCAATAAATTGTATTGTCATACGTGGTGTGACGATTTCGAGTTCTTTATCCTTAACAATATCAAAACAATACAAAACATTGAACAATTTTGTGAAATTAAAAGCAAAAACTGATCGTCTTTGTTTTCAACGAATGCAGGGTGCGAGAAAAAACTGCAACGCCATGATTTTTATTTATTTTTTTAATTTTGATGAATAAAAGCCAAAAATGTCGGAAATGGCATTAAATTTTAGAACATTTTTACATTTGTTCGAATTGGTCACCTTTGGCACGAATTATGGCCTACAAACGGCCAATGAAACCGTCACACGCTGCCCGAATGTTGATCTGCGTTATTTTGGTCCAATCACGGCGAAGCGCTTGAAGACCCTCCCTAGGTCTAGGTCTAAACAGGACTTCTAAAGACGGAAGACCTTTCATAGGCCTTCTGAAGATAAATTACTTCCCACAGATCTTCTCAGGATAGAATACCTTCCACATATCTTCTCAGGATAGAATACCTTCTACAGGCCTTCTTAACATAAAATATCTTCCATTGGTCTCCCAAAAAATACCTTCCAAAGGCCTTCCATAGGTCATTTAAAGATATGATAATTTTAACAAGACTTCTTATAAAATACCTTCAACATGTATTCCAAAGACGGAAGACCTTTCATAGGTCTTCTAAAGATAGAATACCTTTCACAGATCTTCTCAGAATAGAATACCTTCCACAGATCTTCTAAAAATACCTTCCAGGCTTTCTTGAGATAGAATACCTTACATTGGTCTTCTAAAAAGTAAAATAACTTCTACAGGTCTTTTAAATATAGAATATCTTCCACAGATCTCAGAATGAAGACCTTCCATGGTTCTTCTAAAAATAGAATACTTTCACCAGGTCTTCTCAGGATAGAATACCTTCCACAGATCTTCACCAGGCCTTCTAAAAATAGACTAGTTTTCAAAGTTCTTCTAAAGATGGAATACCACCCACAGACCTTCTAAAGATAGAATATCTTCCATAGGTCTTATAACAATAAAATACCTTTCACATATCGTCTCAAGATAGAATACCTTCCAAAGGTCTTCTAAAAATAGACTACATTTTACAGTTCTTCTAAAGATAGAATACCACCCACATGCCTTCTAAAGATAGAATATCTTCCATTGGTCTTCTAAAAATAAAATATCTTTCACATATCTTCTCAAGATAGCATACCTTCTACAAACCTTCTCAAGATTGAATATCTTCCACATATCTTGTAGTCATATTCAACCTTCCACAGGTCTTCTAAAGTGAGAATACCTTCCGCAGGCCTTGTCAAGGTAGAATTCCTTCCACTTGCATTTTCAAGATAGAATACTATCCATTGTTCTTCTAAAAATAGAATACCTTCGACAAGTCTTCTTAAAATATAATATCTTCAACAGGTAAGTTCGTGATAGAATACTTTTCAAACCTTCTCAAGATAAAATATCTTCCACCGGTCTGGTCTTTTCAAAATATTCTATTTTGGTCTTCTAAAAATGGAAAACCTTCCATTGGTCTTCTAAAGATAGAATACCTTCCACATGAAGACATTTCATAGATCTGTTAAAGGTAGAATACATTTCACAGGTCTCTAAAGATAAAATATACAGGTGTTCTAATTATAGAATACCTTCCAACAGTCTTCTAAAGTCGGACCACCTTATACGGGCCTTCTATAGACAGAAATGCATTTCACAAGTAGAACACCTTCCACAGGTCTTATAACGATATAATACCTTTCATAGGTTTTCTATAGACAGAAGTGCTTCTAAAGGTCATCTATAGACAGAAGACCAACCACAAGGCTTTTGCATATGGAAGACCTTTTATAGATGCATGTCCCTCCACCAAATTTTATTTTACATAAAAGGTATACCAGCTTGTCTCCAGATATAAGATCTTCAAAATAGAAGGTATTTCGCACCCTGACAGTAATGTTGTGGATGGAAGACCTTTCATATGTTTCATTTAGCCAAAAATTATTCAGCAAAACTGCACTCCAACCCTTGAATTCCCAAATGTCTTCTTTGTGTAAAAGACCTTCGAGTGCAAGTGGAACAACCAAATACC